TATGGTCCATTAGCAACTTGTAGACATTGTATATTTTTTCCATTCTTTTGCTACAAACAACTGAGAAGGCAACGAACTGCTGCTGTTGTGGTGTACCCAGCACTTGGCTGGAACAGCAATTTTTTAATTGTTATGCTTCCAAACCTTATGCTTCCTCCTTAAACTTCTGACATGCATTCACCCTCCCCTGTTATGCTGTATTGTACTTCGTCATAAGCATCCTGTCATCCACAACTGAATATGGCTTTTCAACAGCATGTTCTCAGGTAGACTAATGTTTAGGGGAATATTTATCAGTTTGTTACTGGAGTACATTTTTTATTGTTTAGTTACTTAAATAAACTAGAAAAGCACTTCAGCATCTTACTGAATACATTTTTTATTGTTTAGTTGCTTAAATAAACTAGAACAAATCAAGACTCTTGCTTAAAATAGACAAGTCTAATCATTTGGTGTATAAGCTGCATTTTGGAGAAATGGAGACTTGCTTCAAAATGGCAAAAAAAAAAAAAAAAAATCTTGCTCAAGTGGTAGCACTACTACACAAAAATATCTATTATTATGGATTACGTTTAACTCAGGAATGGGTTGAACGAGGAAGAAGGTTTTTATTGTTATGACAGCTCAAACAATTTTCCAAACACCTTTTAGTCAAAGGTGACAGAGGTTAAAAATGACTTGGAGAGCTTCAGTAAGATGCTGAAGTGTAGCCTTAGTATGAAGAGCCTAGCTCCTTCCTGATGCTGGAATGTGGAAGATGCTAGAATTCTTCCTAGTAGGGGTACACCCAAAATGCTTGCTTGGTGGGCTCTAGTTTTTAATTATTGCACCCTTTTTTTCCCCCCAGCACACCACAGTCACTGAAGAAGAGGCCTTTTTTCCTTTTTTTTTTCCTTTTTTTATTCTTTTTCCATCCAGCAATTGCTGCTGCTGGATTGAAGAAATAGGGTCTGAGGAACAGGGTTGTTCTCTTGCCTATGATTAATCTAGGACTAGGTGCATGCTGTTCTCAAAGAGTAACTTGAAAGTGATTGTTCTTAATTTCAGTGCTTAGCCACACTTCCAAATGTTAGATTGAAACTCGCCCATCTGGTTAATTTCACTGTAGCCTTGCTTAGAAAAGTAGCAGCAGCAGTCAGCGGTATTGAAGCCTATTGCTACATTGATTTATATTTGATTACGTTTTGGTAGGTGATCTTTAAGCTGTGAAGATTAAATGAAAGTTAAAATTTTGCAGTTGCTGTCTTATTCTTCAGTTCTCTTTTGGATAAGCTTGTCAGGTTGAAGGTGCCCCCTGCCCCCACACACATTCCTACCATCCTGGCTAATTGTGGGATATGACGAGAGCTGGTCAGACATTTTGAAACGAAAATGTTTATTCATTTTGCTTAATATATTCATTTGTAATGCCTTGAGAAAACTTTGTGGGGGTGGCACTCACCATAGTGCGGGAGAAGTAATCCAAGGTAAGTCCTCACAGAAGACCTAGGTTTTCTGAGGACTACTCAATGGCAGGATCCCTGACTTAGGCCTCCTCTACATTTTACCTTTATTGTGCAATTAACTGAAACCAGCTACCTGTGCAAAGTAGCTGTCTCCTTGAAAATGTGCATTAACTTTATAGCTGGTTGCTATCAGCTTTAATTTGCAGGTGTAGCAAGGAATACGTTGGGTGATAGCAGTCGGCTGAACCTCTGGCATCCCAGGGTGCATTACTTTACTTCCAGTGTAAGCTTTTCTGAAAGAGCTCTCTCAACTGGTCAGCAGTAGCAGGGGAAGCTGTTAATCCTCCTTCCCTCCTCCTGATAGCCTGCCTATGCACTTGTAGCTGTGCACATGGCATGATGTCTTTCTTCATCATGTAAGGAAAGCAGTGTTGCGATTTGAATGATGCCTATAGGCACCCTTAGGGGCAGACCCACCAGGTAGATTTCTCTAGAGCTTCTTTGTCCTCTACTGTGAAACTGGCTACTTTAGCTCTAAGTGAAGCCACTGATTCTGAAATTCCAGAGCTGATCAGTTACATTTTAAAGTTCTTGTCAATTTCACATCTCCTCCTAATAATTATGAAACTGGCAAGAATTCCAGTTTCCTCAATTTTCAGCTTGCAAGAAAATAAAAACAATCTTGTTTTTTTTTATCTGAAACCAAATTTTAAATAAACTAGTTTTCTTGTGAATTGTCCCTCCCAAACTTTTTTTCCCCGGTCACTTGGTCACATGGAACAAGTTGCTATTTAGATTTTTGTATAGAGAGAACTGTTAACTTGATCTCTTTATCTTGAAGCTGAGACTGGATTTCATGCAGTTGTGTTGTTTCTGAGATGTGATTGTTTGATTCCAGCTGTTGAGGAGTCAGGTTCATAAAACTGCACTGACTTCCATCTTGTAGCTTGCCATCCTGTCTCTTTATACAAAATATTATTAAAGAACCATGTGTTAACTCTTGTATCACATATTTACTGTGCATTAGGTTTTGTGAAATCTCTGAGTTCTTCATTATATAGCTCTACTATGGCAGAGTCCATCTTGTAACAGCTGGAGAACACTTTAAATTATTTTCTCTCTGTATGTTAGAAATCAGTTTCCCTCCATCCTCAAGGGTCCGAATACATTTGGGCAGCTCCTTTGAAGGTTAGGAGAATAAACATGACCTAGAGCAGTTTTGTCCTCCATACTGTGTTTAAGTGTTGACATCACTTTCTTTTGAAATTTCAACTCCTGGCAATTACACTTTTGTTTTTCAGTTCTTAATTCAGCTTCTGTAGAGGCCATACGTGGTTAATAATGGGTTAAATGTCTATTAAATTCATATTTGTCAGAATGATGACAGTTTTCTAGAGTAACGTTGATTTGAACATAGGCTTATATAATAACTCTTTGCTTGCTTTCTGAGCTGGAAAGCTGGATAAAATTTTTGAATGCATCTTGAAGAGGGGATGACTTCATTAGATTTAATGAGGTATGTTTTGGTGAGAGTGGAGTGTGTTTGTAAAATAAAACCTTTGTTTTCTTCTATTACAGGACAGGAAAAGAAGGCCAACCCAGGGAATACTATACTTTGGACTCTATCTTGTTCCTGCTTAATAATGTGCACCTTTCACATCCTGTTTATGTCCGGCGTGCTGCAGTAAGTAAACCACATGAAACTTAGTCTATTTTTTTTTAGTCTTAAATGTGTTTGAAGATTGCTTAGTAAGTGCGTTAGTATTTTCAAGAAGTTATGGTAGCACCTAAAAATTGTTATTAGAGTACTATAGTCTGATTGAACATACTTCAGTACAGTAGGTTATTTCCTGATAATTATTCAGCTACCACCAAGGTATGACAGTTATTTTAATTGCCGTAAAAAAGTGACTTGCTAGTCAGCCTCTAGCATTATCCTTTCTGCTCATCACCTATGTAAAGCTGTTACTTAGTTGTTGCAGCCTAGTGTTATATTAGATAAACAAGTATGTTCAATCATCTGCACTCCAAAAAATTACTTTCTTCTTGCATATATAGGAACATATCCTGTGTCTTCCCCTCCAGTCCCCTGGAAGTAATTTTACTTTTCTGCTTGCTGTCCTTTTAACACAGGGGTTGTCATTAAACTCACTTAACTTAAGGACTTTTGGTTAGCTGTTGCAAACTGGGTCAGCACCCTCACCCTCTCCGGAAAAGATTTTGTTGTGTTGTCTTTACGCCCTTAAGTAGGAGCTATTTGGTATAATTAAATATCTGTAAGATGCTTTCCTTGTATTCAGGTTGGTAGGAAAGCTAAACAGTGAAATTTGACGAAGAACATGCTGTTGATTCGTTACTTCGTGCCTCATCTGAAGAGGCATCAGTAACTGAAGTACTCCCAAGCTGATTTGTAAAAGTTTAAATTATCTTATTTAAAACTATCAAAACAGTGTCTTTTCCTGATGCTTGTCCCTTAAGCAGATTTTATTTGGTATGCAGAACCAAATGAGCATATAAGAAGGTGACTTTTAAAGCATGGTCTAAGGGCAGGTTTAACAACTTACCATATTTTTGCACATATACCCTGCCCATGGGTATAAGCTGCACCCATGTATAACCCGTGGAAAATTGTATTTTTGTAAATAAGTCCGTGTATACGCCGCACCCGTGTATTCCCTGCGGTGGCGCATACACATGGAGGTGGTGCAGCCTGGCCTGCCCTGGCAGCGGCAACACAGCCCGGCCTGCCCAGACCCAGCGGGGAGGCGGTGCGGTGCAGCCCGGGTCGCCCTGGCCCCGGCCCCCTGCGGCGGCGCATAAAATCGCGTATACCCTGTGGGATATATGCGCAAAAATACGGTAATTGTAATTCGCTCTGTGTGATATAATAGGAGAAATACAAATATTTTTCACTCAAAATTTAAATGAATTGAGTTGTGTCCAGTGAAAATTTAGGGTCAAATATATACTCTTCACTTAACTCGGTGATTATTAACTGTAGTGTCCTGAGAACTTTTTATCAGTGCTGTAGGTCACCACACAATGTTAACACTGTTAGGTGTACAAACATGATTTGCAAGATGAACATGGGGATTTCAAAAGGAATCCATAGTATAAAAAGTATGCTGACCTGTTGGACTTTTTCAGAGTTCTGTCCAATAGAAGACTTGCTCTGTTTTTTCTTCAGTTAAAAAAAGAGTGGGGTGGGAACCAAGAGTTGGTATTTTCCTTGGGGTGTCTTGAGTCAAAAAAGGGTTCAGAACCACTGACTTTTAATCCCTTAATGTGCTTCATTTAAAAGTTTTAAAAACAGGTAGATTAGCATTTTTCCATAGGTCCCTTGATATACTGTATGCAAAGAGTTATAGAGTTATTCTTGCTCAGTTTGGCCAGATTTGAATATTTGACTGTGAATAACTCTAGACTCCTGGTCTGGGTAACCATCTGAGAGGTCTGATACCTGAGTTTTTGTCCCTGCTCCAATTAATGTTTTACACAAGTGAAGCAGCTTGCCTATAATGGGTTGAGAACTCCCCTCAACTTATACCTTAACTTGTTTAGGTTCAGACATTCTCCAGGCAGGTAGGATATGAGAGCCTAATCCGCCCAAACAGAGAAGCTGTTGGTACCTCAGTCTGCCTTACCATAACACGCATCTTTACCACTGACTGGGCTCTTAAGTAGCAGGGGGCACTATTAGCATATTTTTCTTTCTCAGTGGCTTTTTGGAAAGTGCCCTATATCTAACCTCTTATTTAGATTTTTTTTCAATTAAAAATGCTCATAATGAAAATGAAGTATTTTTATTTCACATTAAGAAATATTTCCTCCCTCTTCTTCCCCACCCTCCCACTGTTTTCCCCAGGGGAGGGAGTAGTGGTGACACCTTTTGGGGTTAAGGAAAACTAAATTTTTTACAGTATTTTTGGTAGGTAAAAAAAAAATCTAAGTTATACATGCAGATAAATGATCAATAATGTGTGTCCAGCAAAGTTTAATAATTACCTGGCACTTTATTTTATAGCATTCATAGAACGTTCCTGTAGCACTTACAACTCTGTGCGACATGGAACCACTGGTTTTCTTTGTTTTGAACGTGTTTGGGTGGGCTGGGGAAGAGATCTAATAACTTCTTGCTCTGGTTTAATATACAGCTTGCTGTTTCATTGTGCCAGAAACCATGCCAGGAGAGAAGTCTTGCTTCTTTACTTTTTATGGACTAACTTGCTCCCTGATGATTTTACACAGTCTATCCATTTCATATGCAAAATGCTTAAGTTGAAATATTTTTAACAAAATTGCCATTGATCCTTTTATTCTGATATAGGATCCCTGGGGCAAACAATGAGAGAAAAGACTTTGGATGTAGATTACAAATGTGTGGTTCTCTCTTATCTCATATTGCCAGCAAGTGTCTCACAAATTGTTTGCACGTGATTCTAAAGTTACTAGTAAGTTGTCGTGTTCCTCAGTCTTCAACAGGTCTTTGTTACCCATTTGTTACTAAACTGTAGAGTGAAGGGTTTTTGAACCCGAAAGCTTGCTTAATAACTATTCTCCAACCATTTGGGTTGGTCTAATAAAAGATATCAAATTCACCCAAGGAACCTTGTCTACCTATATCCTTAGACCAACACGGCTACAACCTAAACCCCCTAAACTGTAGAGTAGCTTTTTAATCTTCAGGTTTTGTTTTAAGAGGCTTCACATTTAGCTTCATACATATCCTGATATTTTTGCATTTGTACTAAGGTAGACTACTCTGGCCAGTATTTGCTCACCAATAATTGCAATTTTTTTTCTTTCCCAGACTGAAAACATTCCTGTGGTACGAAGACCTGACAGGAAAGATCTGCTTGCATACCTAAATGGCGAAACATGTGAGCAAAGTTCTTTCTTTAATATAACTATATAGTGCATTTCATGGTCTCATATTTTAAGGAGTGTGGGAGGGTGTTAAAGCTGATGATGGGACTGAATGTGTCCAGCCTGATCGAGTGATCTCCCAGTTTTTCTTCCACCTCTTTGTTCTAAAGCTTCACTCAACTCTGTCATTAGCAGGGATCCGCGTTTTCCATTTGCTGCAGGAAAATGCAGATTTTCCTCCTTCTAATGGAGAAAATCAGGGATGGAGAAAAATGCGGGAGACTGCAGGTTTCCCTTTGTGGGCGGTCAGAAGTCCAGCCTGCAGAGGACTGTTTGGGGCTGGGGGGAGTGGGACACAGGTCAGGGGTTGCCATGTGCATGCATGAGGCAGTGATGGAGAGCAGCTCCCGCAACTCCTTTCAGGTAAGTCTATGAGGGAGGGAAGGGGGCACAGGTGGCATATTGGGGTGGCGGGAAGCACAGTTGATGTGGTGAGTGGGCATGTGTCCTCCCAGATGGAGGCTGCAGTTGGCCTGGACCAGCTCTGGGCAGCAGATGCCTCTGGAGCCCAGTGGGTGGGACCAAAGTGGGAGGGAGTGCCACACCACCATGGCCACCAAAGTGAGGCATCCCCTGCCCACCTGGCAGCAGTGAGGGGCACAATTCTGCACCACTTTTGCTGCCATGACTCACCATGGTGGCATGGCATGCCTTCCTGTGATGGGTCCTGCCAGCTGGCGCCTCCTACTTGGAGCTAGTCTGGCCTGGCTGCAGTCGCACACTCTGGGGGGGCTGTGGGTCAAGAGTGAGGGGCACCCGCAGGGTCAGGGGCAGGATGTTAGCATATCAGGGCTGCTCAATGCCACAAAGCAGCGAGGGGAGTATGGCCACAGCTGGACCTGCATCCTGGTGAGCAAAGGGGGCAGGAAGAGCTCTGATTTGTTGCATGATAAAAAACAAACAAACCCCCCCCCCCCCCCGCCACCCCCCCACCACGAC